ATGACTGGCAAAAGGCCTCTTTAAGAAGCATGCCAAATTTCATTGATTCATTTAATGAACAAAGCATGTCTATCGAGGTAATCTTTATATATTCCAAGTATTTTAATGTTAAAAGGAGTCCGGGTGTTTATTTCTGAACTTCCATGCACACATTTCTCTGACTTATGTTTTCAAAAGAGGGGACTAGATAGTATAATAACAATAACATAAAAAAAAGAGATTCAGCTCTGTTTTTTCCATAACTTCATACACTACTGCAGCCATTTCTCTTGGCAGTGACATTTAAAAAGCTGCAAGAAAGACCAGAAACAAGATTGATTTTAAGATTTTATTTTTTTTAAAAAAACTTGAACATTGTCAGCCTCATGTTTAGTAAGAATATTTAATCTTTGTCAGTCCACTTCTTTTTTCTACGATCTCTTTAGGGAAGTAAGTTTATAAATCAAAGGAAGTATCCACTAACAAAATATATGAAGAAAAACCTTCCTCAAGGGAAGACTTCTTTTCAATTAGAGGAGACTAATCAAAAAGAAAATGACAGCAACTCATTTTTGGGGCACCACCACTTGAAGATGCAGTTAGCAATTACCCACGTATGTAACAATAAGCCACACACAGCTCGAATATCCTGGAACTGGACCCATATGGTATTGCAGCTCAATGATTTCATGGCAATGATGTCATCCTGCTGCCTGGGATCATAGGGGATGGATAATTGTGGTAGGCTTTGACACACGTGCATAGTGAGGAATCCTGAATAACTGTCATCACCCTCATTTTATCATTACTGACATAACTGAGGGCAAGCAGAGGAGACATGAAGGGGTACAGAGCAAAGAGACCACAGCTCGAGATGTACATGTGCTGCATCCCATGTGCATGACCAGCATCAGAGGATGTTGAGATAAAGGAGTTACATACACCTGGTTTCTCACAGAAACATAGGATCTGAAATGAAGCCACCAAGGATCCCAGATTATGAGGACAAGCATATTGTACTTGACTTCAAAGTGACTAAGCACAGAGCCTCCTGAAAACACCAGTTTGCTTTGCCAAGGAACAGCATAAGTAGCATAAGCTTTGCTTTTCCCCTTTCTGCCTCCATGCACTGTGTCCTTGACATGTCCCCTGCAGGAAAAGGCACGGAGCAGAGTTGCTGCAGGAAACACACAGGAGAGAAATAGCAGCAGCCACAGTACAGCTCCCCCAGCCAGCTTGGGCCTTCACCTTGCACTGGAGCTCAATTTACCCTTGGTAAATTGTTGAACAACCACCTGACTACAGTCAAATCCTCTCAGGGGCCAAGACTAAGTGTATTATTGCACATTTATGCAAGGCAGGTCTCAGATTTGAAAGTATGTTTATGTAATAAAAGGTAAAAAATAAATTTACAGCACTTAGAGATTAAGTGCATATAGCTTCAGCTAAATACCAACTCCCAAAGAAATGGCTTAATGCTTAAAATATTTTGACAGCATGGCACGTTGCCCACAGGCCCCACAGGTTGCTTGGAAAGAAGAAGGAGGAGAAACAAACGTACAGCAAACTTTTTGTTAATATATTCATTTTACCTATACCAGCCAGTTTGGCTTGATTCAGCAAGCCCAGGAAAGAGAGCAGGAGGTACAGAAAGGGAGAAGAACTTTTAAAGCTGCACTGATTGGTTGCATTATCCAAGGTTTGTATCATGCTCTGGTTTCTAACCCTTTAGCCATGCTAACCGTTTGCCAGTAAAACACACCCAGCAGTGTCCACAACAAAGAAAAGGGACCTCATAACAGCATCTGGAAATGTGATTTGCTTCCTTCATCTGAAGGCGGTACTAAGAGACTGGGGGGCTCTCCCAGCTGTGCTGCATCCTCAGTGCACACCGAGGCTCTGGGAGGGGGCAGAGGGGAAGAAGAGGGGTCAGAAAGCAATAGCTGCTCTCCCTAACCTGGGAACAGAAGATGGGAAATACTGTGCATATCATGAAGGCAAGCAGCCTACACAGCATGCATGGAAATTAATGTTTTAGGATAGCAAAAACTACACTGTGATAAGGTTGTTTAAAGGCCACCCACAGGTCTAGCAAATAATGGGCAGAGGGAGAGATGGAAGAAGTTGCTTATGCCAAAAGAAAGGAAAAATGTCTTGGAGAAAAAAAAAACAAAAACACCTCTCATCCCATTTCTCTTTTGCTCCTCTGTTATGTTGAAAAGAAAAAGCCTCATATTTGGTAACCCTGCTATAATATTCCTAGCAAGAAGGGATGGACAAAGATTGGGGAATTCCATTTACCCCAAAGGTTGGATTTTGTTTTATTTCAGTTCTCTTTAACTTGTGGGTTTTTTTGCCTAAGGTTCTGAACTTTTTTTTCTTTAATGTTGCAGAAAACCCTATAGAAATTAAGTCCAGGTTTAACCCCTATGCCAAGATCTCCACCTCTGTGCTTCACACACTGCTCCTTCTGTGCACGCCTCACTGACCCAAAGCTCTGCTGAGACCTGCTGAGACCCACCTCCCACTAGTATTGCAGTAATTATTCATTTCCAATATTATTCTGAAATCAAAAAAGCTAAATTAACAAACTGCAGCAAAAGAGGAATATTTGAGAGCAGGGCAAAATGGTTGATTTTTCACACTTCATTGGCCATTTTTGCTGCCTGGACAACCTTTTGCCTCTTCCCTTCTGCAAGACACCATCCTTCTTCTCACTGCCTCCCTCTTAGGAGGGCTTGCAAAAGACCCCAGGGCAGCACAGCACAGATGCCAGTGCCCGACCTCCATCCATCAGTGGCCCGTCAGTAGCCTGACCTCCATCCATCCTTATCCAGGCACGATGTGTGAATGAGGTTTGGTGCCAGTTTCCATGGCAATGCAACTGCACAGTGAATGCACGCCTCACACAGGGTTGGTTTTTTCACAGAGATACACGAAACAATAGGACTAAGCTTAGGACATGTAGCTGAGCTTAAGGCATGTAAGGAGTTACCACTGTCACAAGAAGGCAGAGAATTTCTTTCTAATGGTTTCCCATGACTACCTCTTTTTTGTCCTGCAGCAATCTGTCCTTTCTAAGTAAGCATGGAAGAGCACCACTTTCAAACATCTCATACGTATATGTGGTTGTATATAGTCATACATGCATGTAGACAAGAGAGACCGTGCCATCTATATATGGTCAAACAGTATTTCCAATGACCCCTCTTTACCCTCTAATGTCTGAGAGACTTTCTTAAGGGCTTTCCTCAGAACCACAAAGCCGGTGCTTTAATTCCTGACCTATTTCCAAAGCTCAGCGAAAGCCAGCACAGATGTATGTTCACCACAGAAACATCCTGTGATTTTTCAAAGCAATTTAAAAAAAAAAAATAAATCTGAAGTTGCAAGGCTAAGCACTCTGAAAGCTCTTGGATCAAAAAAGTCATTAGGAAAAAAAATAGTTATTGTTTGTTTTAATGTTTTCCTTTTTAAAAGAAAGTGATTTTCATTAGATGAAAGAGCTTAATGGTTTGAACAAAAATCTATGGGTTTCAAACCTCCAATATGGGTATAGCATTTGATAGCTAATTGCTTCCTAAGCTCATGGAAGGGCAGAAAACCCACACTGCACAAGACATGCTGCTCAAATGGATGAGCATCCCTTGGAGACAAGCACGGGTTCCTAAATTTAGGGCATGCAGCATTCTGTGCAAGAGCTTACAACACTGTGCACTGCACATCAAGTTGCTATTCTGAAAGACCCATGTCTGGACTGGTCATTGCTGGATCAATCATCCCCCAACATTAGGTAAAGAATTTATATGTTTTCTCAAGTCATAAAAGTATTTTCCTCTCTTGGCAATATTGGACTGTAAAGATCTTTTGTCAGAGCTGAATATCTTACTCAACTCTACCACTAACAAACATACTTTCCAGGGCCTTTTAACTCTCTCATATAACTGTCTTCCTCAAATGCCAGACATCAAAGACTAATGTTGCCTGACGAGCCATAATTGACACAATGACAACCAAGTATCTCATATCACCATAAAATTTTTTTTTAAGCAGCGTGGTAACCTTTGCAGTTACACACACTTCCTTTAAACATTTCACTTTAAACTCAATGAAATGAATTTTAAAATCAGCAGTTTAGTATAATGAAGCATTTGTGAGAGCTGTAATGTCTTTTTCTCATTTTCCCCTAGTCAGCTCCCATAATTTGCACTTAATTCAGATTATCAATGTACCACTACTATAAAGGGGAGAAAATTGCTTCATTTGATTGTAAAAGACTAAAAATACATATTTTACCTAGTGGGTAAAATATGAATGCATATCAGAAGACTTCCACACCTGGGCTGCGAAAATGGACATGAATGTATGGAAAGTTCCCAAAAACCTTCCTCTCTTTCTTTTGCATACTGTATGGAAGAGCATGCCAAACCCCAAAGAAACATTCCTGTTTTGGGGGGAGGAAGCAAACCACACGCTTTCCATAAATAGCACTCTCCTCCCTTAAGTAAACCTTGTGCACTCAGCCTGTGACTATGTTACAGTTTAAATATTTTGTTAACCTTATGCTATATTCTCAGCATAGCAAAAACCAACACTGCAAAACATCTGCACCCAAACAAGTTATAAGCGAGTGTGCTTAAAAGGCAGCTTTTCATCTGTTTAGAAAAAGGGGTGCCCTGGCTAGGAATGCAGCCTGATTCATCCTAGGTCATCTGGAATGGCTCAGCTCAAAGGTCCCGCTATTTACCCACAGCTATAAGAAACTGCCCGGCTACACTGCCTTTATAATGAAGCTGGCTTACCCTGCACAAGGGAAAGAAAAAGAATAGTATCAAAAGAAGCAGTCTTACTGGGGCTTTTAAATGAAAAATCATCTGAGCAAGCCACTATCCAAGGAAAGAGGTGGAGGAGGTTCCTTTGGACACATTATACTATTTAATTAATTAAGGCACATACTAGAAACTGTTTGAGTGCAAAGACACAACTCGACTGAAATGACAAGTTGGTCCAGAGCCACTCACCAGTCTCGGTTTTGTTGCATCTGGGAAGACACAGGCATCGCAAAAGACCACGTTCAGCCTCCTACAGAAAAGGCAAACGTCCCCCATTAAATTCTGCATTGGCTCACAATACCCTCAGCCACAGAGTGGAGCAAAGGCCAGAGGATGTTGATAAGAAATCAGCACCCACCCAGACCTCCTCTAACTCTGACCCTCAAAAGTGAATGAATTAGCACTTTACACATATGGACAGGCCACTCTGAAGTCTATATATCATATATATATCTTCTTTTCCACTCCCTTGTCAACAAAACATCAGTCTTGCTTTTAAAATCTTGATGTTGGGGAGATTAAAAGTAGGGCAATACGGAGATTACAATGGCAAATACACTGAGCCTTACCATTCAGTTTAGGAATTCAGGGTTACAAAAAGCATACCGTGGGCAATGCAGTATAAAGAGGCAGAAGCAGAGATAATCAGATAGGTCACACACACACAAAAAAAGAAAACAAACCAACAACAACATCTCTGAATAATTAAATTAAAATAGTGGAAATTGTCAGCTTCGGATCTGTCTGTATCACAGACACAGCTATCAACAATAAAGCTTGCTTAAAAATAATGGTGTGTAAAATAATTCTATCAACTCCTTATTTGCATTGGAGGAGGATTCAGCCATATAATACACTAAGAGTCATAACTCATCATAACAGAAAGATAGCTTGACTTTTAAAAGTAAATTAGAAAAACATCCACAAAACCCCCAAGCAAAACAACAAAACAAACAAAAAGCAAACCAAACACACCACAGAAGTAAAGCCCCCTGCAAATATTGCTGGTAAATTATCATTCACCAGTTGGTTATCTCAAATTTCTAAAATCCAGCAGCCTACCTGGTCTCCCACCACATTTGCCTTTGTGGGTTACACAGATCAACAAAAACTTTCACTTTGCTCTAGTAATATTTCAATTAGGGTCACAAATGATGTTATTTCCCTTTACCTTCTTCACCAATTTTCCCATAAAGGAGGGGAAGAGTATTTAAACCATTGCCTAATAAAATAGCTATTTGGAGATCAGGAATGTGTTGACTTTGCTAGAGTTGACTGTGATCTGAGCTCATTCTTTGCACTTCCTGCCAGAGGTCTACACTAGTACCTGACATGGCTGCACAAATGGCTGTGAAATGACCCAAGGTTTCTTTAAAAAAAAAAAAAAAAGTTTCAGTGTGCTCTTGGTACATGCTGCTAAGGCAGACCCCACAACAGCCCCAGAAGGGTACACTGCAAGTCAAATTCTTCATATATTTTAATTACAATTTACACAAAGTGAAAGACAGGTTAATAAGCTCAGTTCATAAAAAAGAAGTGGCATTCTTGTATGAAAGAACAGGGGACTTAGCCTTCAGAGGACTGATCAGAAAATATGTATTATGTACAAGAGTCACCTGTAGTCCTTAGCTAGGAAAGAGGAGGGAGCAAAAGGGGCAGGAGATGGAGAAAAGAACAAGGGACCTTATTTAATAATTTTTTTTTAAAGAGAATTGTTTCTCATTACACTGGTCTCTCTATAGCAGAGCAGCAGATTCAAAAGATTTTCCCCCATGTGAAGTTTTTCAAGACCATAGAACACACGCAAATCTGCAGACACAGGAAGTAGAAGAAAAGTATTTCAGGCAGCAGAGCTGGAAAGGCAGTCAATAGGTACCACCTCCAAATAGTGAGAAAGTGCTCTTTCCTGAGGAACTCGAGGCCACCCATATTTAGTGTCCCACTCTGGCCAATATAAGAACCACTACTACAGCTGCTCACTCAAAGCACTGGGTGGCCCTGAGTGCTTTTAAATGGAAAACATGAACACAGAGATCTGGGTGGTGTTCTGTGTGCAGTGGCCTGAAAAGGAGGGGGAGGTGGGGTTATCCCCTGCCAAACACTGAGTCACAGCCCTATGCCAGGGAATTCCATGCAGAGAGAGCACTGTACACTGAGGCGCAGAGCTGAGCTGGGCTGTGCATCAAGGAAGCACCACCCCAAACCTCGCAGTAACACCACCAAAATTACCCAACCATGACATATGCTTTAGCTCGACCTTTCTTACATCATGTTTTGGCTACCTCATGTATGACACTACTGTTTTCAGCAAGCAGAGAGCATGAGAAAGGCACTGTATGCCAGGACTTGCTCTACGCTCTCTTTCTTACCCCGTCGTCATAGCTCCGTGTCCAGGGGTAATTACTGTAGGTGCCCACCTGCTCCTTGGAGGTGGTTATGGTTTCAATTCTTCATACTAAATTTACTTCTGAATATGCAGTGGGGAGTATTAACACATGACTTGGTCTATGATTAAAAAGGGATTACTTTTTCCCCACCAAACATGGTGAAAGGGAAATTATAAAGTTGCATCCAGAAGAATATCATTTCCAAATTAGACACCTTCAGTTTTAAAAAACCCTGTGAGGTTCTAATTTATTAATGAATAGCTGCTGTCTTTGTAATTTTGTCATACTTATTCCATTACTGTCTGACACTTCCTATTGTCACTGCTTGAATTTTTAAACACTTCCGCACGATTAGTGCTAATCTCCACATTTCATGGAGGGCTGCTAATAAAAGGATAGAGATGCACGAGTGTATAGGAACGATTACAGCTAAACATGTGCTCTAAAGCCCACTCTTAACATCTCTCAATTTCTAGCATTTCTCCCTTCCTCCTAACTCCCAGCTTCTGAAAGGAGGGGGGGGGAATAAAAAAAATTCCCGTTTATTTTGGACTTCAATGGGATTTATTCCTGATCAAGAGAGAATATTAGAATCCCTTCTCAGAGCAAAAGGACTCCCAGAACAGGGTGTAAAGATGCAGGGCTCCTGCATGAAACAAACATTGGCAAGCTAACAGAAAGCTTCATATCTTGATTTTTCTTTCAGAAAGTCTTGTAGAACAGGTACAACAAGCTATTGTGAATAGCTGCTTTGAGGATATAACCTTGCAATAAACAACCTCTGATTTAAACACAGGACTATGTTCACCTAGACTTTTATTTGTTTATTCCCAAGGATTTCAACACCTCTTTTACCCTGATTCTCTGTAACCCAGATTTTCAGCAGGTAAGTACAAAGACCTTATGCATTTGAAAGTACTGCTAAAGCATCTATTTTAATTCATATTTTCTTAAAATCCTACTATCTACACCTTGTAAGAACAGCCAAAGAACTCCTCTGTAGCATTACACATTTCACTGGCACCTAAACCAAGCGTACTGACTGTATGCCCAACCTGTGATCTCTGAAGACACTGAACTGCAGCAACCTCTCATGTCACCACTGACACTAAATAACATATATTCGTACCAGAGTATTTATTTACAAAGTTCTGCATGCAACTCTTCACCAGGCCTCCCATGTGTGCCCAGCAAGTGTCTCCATACCTTCATGCCCTGTGGGCAGGGAAGTCAGCCTATCCTACCACTTTTTTGTCCCACCCTGTTTTGCTTCTTTCAGTCTTTTCTTTCTACCTCCATGCTGTCTTTTCATCTCTCTTAACACACCTGCGGAAGGGTCCCTGACTCCTCATCCCCTTTCATGCACTATCATCTTCCCCAGCAGCAGCACTGCTTGCAACCACCATAAATGAGTTCCCTTTCTCCTCCCTGGGAACAACACTGACTCTCCACTTCCCTCCCAGGCTGCTGCATTGGATCTGTTTCATTTCCCCAGATTAGGTCACTGTGTAATTCCACACAGACTACCTTAAAAATAGCTTAAACACATAAATGTGAGCAGAAAATTTTCTTAAAAAGCTATGAAATTTACAATTCTACTGTAAGGATCACAGGGACAAATGACCCTGACTGCTGCTTAAACAGGTATATTTTGTGCAATCAATAGATGTTCTTCACTGCTTCATTCCAATAGTAGTTTCTCCATGCTGTATGTGCACTGCAGACATTTATGTACAGACAGGGTTTGCTTACATCATGCCACCAGTACTTTGTGGCTCTTCTGAAGGAAAGGACACAAGGCCATGATTCCCTCGTGCCCCAGCTATCACTGACCTCTGTAAGTCTGGCACTGTGATTTACAGCAGCTTAGTCCCAAGTGGCAAACACTGCTTGCCTCAGTGCTTGAAAGAAAGCTGTTGCTCCCATGCTACCAGTTTCTGAGATGTGATGCCCCAGCACCTCTAGCTGTCACCATGAACAAAGCATTCCTACGGTTAGAAACCATGTCTCTAGCTGAACTTGTCACTTCTTCCACTGCCAGCCAAAAGTGCAACAGAATCAACACAGTTCATTGCACCGGGTACCAGCCAGCAGACTGTAACCAGGTCAGCCAGACTCACAGTTGTGTAACCACACTATACAGGATATTCACAGAATATTCTGAGTTGGAAGGGGGCCACAAAGATCATCAAGTCTAACTCTGAAGTGAATGGCCCATATGGGAATTGAACCACAACCTTGGCATGTCTGAGGTCTGTCATTCGTTGCTAACAGCGATCAAGTAAAGTTTAGTTTTTATCTCATCAGCCATGGCCGCTCACCTGAGATTCCTTAATACCCAACAGCCTTCACTTGGGAAGCCCTTGATTCCTTTAGCAATTTGCAAGTAGCTCTTGCTCTTGGTGTGTTGGGCAGAGAAATATTCTATTTTCCTGTGGTCCCCTATATTCAGGCAAATGAGACTAAGCTTATTTTGTATTTCCGTCTTCTGAAATGAAGAGGACCTGCATTACAGTAGTTCTGTTTTAAACCAGATGAAAAGAGGCAGTAGCAAGCATCACTACTAATCAGGCAAAGGCACACCAAGAGAGTTCACTGACACAGAGATTAGGTTTAGACAAAGTATTAGGAAGAATTTCTTTACTGTAGGAATGGTGAGGCCCTGCAACAGTACCCAGAGAAGCTGTTGATACCCTCATCCCTGAAAATGTTCAAGGCCAGGTTGAATGGGGTGTTGAGCAACCTGGTCTAGTGCAAGGTATCCCTCCTCAAGACAGGAGAGTTGGGATTAGATAATCTTAAAGGTTCCTTCCAACCCAAATTATTCTGTGATTCCATATCTGACGGACTTGCATGGCACACC